ACTCGAGCAGTGTCTTCTGCAATCCAAGAATAAGGAGCCTGTCCCTCAACCCGTCACACTGAAGATGTTCAGACCATCGCGAGAGCATGTGCATTGTTGAACAATGCTGAGCATGTCCTCGAATTGATCTGCTCCAGAAGCCCAGCACGACACTTGCACCCAGACTTCCCCAAGCCACGAGGCTCTTGCTGGCGACACACCGCGGTGGTGCGAATTGAAAGCGACGTTCTGAAACTCTAAAGCCTACACGAGAGGAGGTATTGAGGAAGAAGGCCGGAAAGTAGCACGAAAGGAAGCGGGCCTTGAGCACCCTGGTCGGAGCCTGCGAGGACTCATTGGTAACAGTGCATCGAGCGCAGCAAGGGGTAAATGCGTAGCAAATTGCATCCTATCCAAGTCTGTTGGACGGTCTCGGCTTACAAGCCCGTCTTGGATAGCTCTCCGGCCTCTGAAAAGAGGCGTGACGTGGCAGCGTCTGGCCTTCAAGTGACGTAGATCTTGGGGGTGGAAGGTGGGCCAAGCCGAGTAAGCAAAGGCAGGAGTGCTCTTCGACACCGGTGACCGGTGCTGGGCTCGAAACAGCAGGTGGACGGGGAGGTTCACGTTCTCGGCCCTGTCAAAAACGGATGGAACATGGAGACCACTTGTAGTTCAACGTGTCACCTTCCCCAATATACTCTGCCATGCTACTGAATCGGCCTGAACGTGGGAGTCAGGCTTTTTGGCGACATGGCCGCAACCTTTAATAGATCCCACCAGAGCAGGGTGGCAACAGCTGAGGACTGAGAATGATGCTAGCCACTCGAAGCCCAAGCAGGTTCCCCAGACGGGAAACGTCTGGCCAGCCTGTGGCAAAATACTATCGATCTGCCGGGTTAAGAGAAAGCAACACCTCAACTTGCTGCCTCGAACATCCGTCTAGAGTGCTCAAGCACACGAAGCGCTGCTGGAGGAGGATCCAGGTCCTGCCCTCGGCACATGAAACACAACTCCTTGCGATTGTTGAGGTGCTCTCCCAACCTCCTGTGAACAAAAAACCGTTCAGTGAGTGCAGGAGCTCAGCCATCTGGGCGCAGGCAACCCAGGACTGTAGGTACTTGCCAATATTGTCTTCGCAGCGCCTCCGCGTCGCTTGTGGTGGACCTCACTGGCCTCGCATGCAGCTGTCGAAATGACTTCTGAGGTTGAACTCAGTAATTACTGCCCAGATCGAAAAAGTCACTCTAGGTGCCGCACACAACCTCCCCACCAGCCGACTGGACGAACCGCACATATGATGCTGGCAAGGCCTTTGATGCCAGAACTGCAGCGTGTCCAGTCCTCATGCTCATGGCATCTCTTATGGCGGCACCTCGCAAGAGGAAGTCGAGCCGCAAGATTGCCTGGCAGGGATCCATCAGGATCCCTCCGAAGCAATGGATCGCTGGGGAGGATGCGGATCTGCTGGCAGTGAGAGCATGCCGATGATGGGGCTGCCCTGACACAGGCTCTGTTTCTTGTTCCACGGAGATCCTCTGTACCAGAACTCCTGATGGCTACTAAACAAGGTGCAGCAACCTTTGGCCTTGATAGGGCTTTTATGCTTGTGAAGTTGATTTTGAATTGCTGATACTTGTGAACCGGTGTGAGTAATGCCATTTCTCAGAAACGTGAGCGGCCTAAGGCCTAAGTCAGAGGTCTTCCAAAACCTCCGAGCCTCATCGATGTGTGAAGCAAATCCAAGGGCACAGAGAGCCAAATGAGCACTCCATCGAGGCCTGAGGGAGTGGCACGGCACAGCCAGCACAGCAATTCTCATCTGGTCAATGCTTGTCATGTCAATGCTATTTTGGCACCAGACCGCCAAGACATGCTGCGCGAGGGGCTTCCGTGCTGCGGATTCTGTGGACTGTTCAAGAGCTTGCAACTCGGTTGATTGCAACTCGCTCGCGTACGGTATTGCTGCTTCGTTTTTGGTGTCCTTTTGGGAGAATCTTATACGTGGTAAGCTGTGGGCATGTGGCGACAGCCGCATGAAGTACTTTCAAAGTGCAAGGCTGCTTGAAGCTTGAAGCTCCCAAATGCTTCTGCTGGCCGGGCCATGCCTGAAGGGAAAACTACCGGTCCTCAGCCATGCTCTGGGTCTGTCAACAGGATCCTCCACGAACTGAGTCGGCAACGGTGCCACTGTCGGGTCTCTAAGGAATTCTTGGCCTCAGCTCAGAGTCTTATAGTACTTGGAGCCACTCGCATCGCAGCTCGTCGCCTGAACGCGGCCCGTGGAACCCGCTCGGCCGGAGGTGGACGCGGTCGTTCCCGGTGTGCTGGAACCGCTCTGGGAAGGTGCCGCGACCGGTGGCGCCTGCGACTTCGACTCGTCGACTCCATCTGTTTGCAAGGTGCAACAAAAGTGCCTGACGCCCGCTGACAGGAGCTGGTGCCTGGCCAGGAGGGCAAAGGCACTTATTGGCAGTCGACCTCTCACAGTCTCACAGCAAGCTCCCTTGAGCCGGCTCGACCACCCTCACCGGGTGCGGTGCTGGTCTTCCTCGAAGGGACATGACATGACATGTCACAAATCATGCTTCGTAACCTGCCTGCACCCGCCGCTGAGGTAGCCATCCTTAGAAAATGACATGTTCGCGCTCGCAGTTACACGTAGAACGGCAGCTTAGCATCGCACAGCGGATGTATGGCAGGGTTTGCATCCTTACCTGACATGCGAGCATTAGCGGCCACGCGGATTTGCCATTACTTGCTCGGGCAGACCCAGACTTGTTGGAAAGCAGGGCGTAATTTGCCTGCGCGCGAGTCGCAGGCAAACAGCTCTGGCAACCTCCCAGCCGAGGGCTGCGCACAGGATTCATCACGCATTGGATTGCAAGTGGGCTTTCAGCCCGAGTGAGCAGGCAGTCTTGTGCAAATGAAGCGATACTTCACAGGTGTGCGGTGAACTAGTCAGCTACAAGTCAAGCTGGCACTCTGGACAGTGCTACACAGCGCGATCCGTATAGAAGCTGACATAGCCGTCTGCGTCCTCGCTGAGGAGGGATGGAGAGATGTGAGCCAGAAGCACTGCGAAGCTTCGTGCGTTTGTGTCACCGGCTGCATGCTTGCTTACATGCAGGGCCAGATCTGAACCGCTCGTCTCCAACCCACTTTTTGACTTTTTGAATCACAAATCGCTTGTGAGTCTTTCTCAGGATGAAACCTTCTCCTGCGTCTTGGAACATGTTCAATGAGTTCATCGGTCTTCAGGCTCCCTCCCAGCCTCGCGAGCATCACGCAAAGAGCTCTCCTTCGTCATCAAGGGAATCGGAATCCACTAAGCCAGCACTTCAAAACTGGGCAGACCTGCTCTCAGCGCCGGTCGCGAGTCGGAGCCTCCAGCACCACGTAAGGATTAAGAAAAGCGGAATCATCGGCATGTCGTCCTAAGCCTTATCAGGTCCTACAAGCATGTTCATGTGTCATGCTGCATACATCTCCATGCAGTACGTGAATTTGTGCCCTCGAAGACAAGGTCCCGTCCATGGGGCTTTAGGACGCCGCCCCAACGCTACCACGATCCATCTCGGCCTTGATATTTGCCACGATGAAGCTCCAATGGTGAGAGCGATCATCTGAATTTAGGTGGGGCCGTGTAAAGCTTCACCTTCAATCCGAAAAAAAACATGGTAAACCATACGACGGACTTCTCGAACAGTGTTCCTCTGCCCAACTCGATGTCGATGCCATTCAAATCATCCCAAATAGTTTCGAGTAGCATGCCCTAACAGTCATCATAGTCCGCCTTTGTGAATGCATCCGGTCACTCTCCCAGTTCTTTGCATCCAACTGGAGCACGGCTGCTTCGTCCATGTCAGAATGAAGTTCGCCGTGGGACACTGAATTAATGGTACCACAATTACCACAGCGTCACGAATTGCTTGCCCAGTCCAAAAGTGGCAAACGCGTCAGCTTGTAAGTTGAGCCTTCGGTTCGACGCCCCACATCAAGAGCACGGACAGCTCTCACGGGCTTGGCTGGCTGATGAAATCCAAGGGCGAAATCCTCCTTCAATCCTGAGAGATGAGATTCCACGATGACTTGGCTACTGAACTTGTCCTGGTGCAGCCGCACGTACTGCAGCTTCACCAGCTATGTGGATACGCATACAGTATCTACAAGCATGCAGAAACATGCCAAGCACCTCTGTAAAGCTTGAACTCCCTCGCTCTGCTTGCTGTTTGCGAAAATGGCTGTAAATCCCAAGGTTGCCATGCTAAAGCCAGCTACGACAGCACATACACAAAAATGTGGTACATGATAGCATACGAAGGACCCAGTCCGCATCCTTTCAGAATGTGATGCTCAGAATGCGCATCTCAACGTATCCTCTTGGACTGAGAGAAGAGAAGATTAAAAAGCTTAGGACTGCGACGTTTATCTCCTGCCTGAGCTTCAATGTAAGCGCGAAGTAGCAGATGCCATTCCGCCATTGACCTGCTCAACGCAATGCACCTGTCTGTCTACGGGCAAGGTATAGGGATTGCACAAACACCCAGCCACATCGGTGGATCTGATGCATGTCTATGGACACGCATGTCCTTTACATGACGCTCTGAGAAACCACAAAACATGCAGTCATACCGCGATGCTCCTTCGTGTGCAGGAATAGCTTCCAAGATCAATCATTCAAGGCAACTGATGCATCGCAAGTTGCTGAGAATCTCCCTGTTGTGGAAAGAAATCAAAAGCATACCGCCAATGCTCCTCAATATTGGGTGTTTGAGAATACCCGTTCGTCCGAAGTCCAATCCTGACCAAGTGGACCAACAAGACATGTTGACAACCTTCATACCATAGAAATGCCGACAAAGTACATCAGATCTGGTCTGTGGGAGATGGCTTTTCAACACACGTGACACATTGACAGGCATATAGAGGAAGCGATCCTGGATCGGCTGCCAAAAATTGGCAGTGCGTGTCAGACATGCCTATGCATATGCCTAGTTCCCGGAAGGTACTCGACCTTGCTGTTAAGAGCATTTGATGAAACGCCGCCCGCGACGAAAGGCGCACAGTTGCACAAGGTCGCACGGGAAAGGGATGATCAATTCGTCTCTGGCTTCGGCCAATTGCCCACACCAACGTCCAAAAATTGTTGCCACTCTCCCAAGTAATGGTCGCACCCACTGCGGGCTAATATCTGTATGGCTCCACCTCTGATCCAGTTCGGTCACAGCGTATTCAGCTTCGCGCCGGGTCGCATATTCAACCTAAGAGCACGCAAGTCTCTGAGTTTGTCTTTGGCAAGCACGGGGTCCTGCAAGGGAGCTGATGAATCTCCGAGCACGAGAGAGCCGGGATCGCCACCCAACCGCGCTTTGGCTTATCTGCTTCTCCGAAAACTCTCAAGGCCAACACCTGTCAAGACAGGCCGTCCTCTGTCCTCTCGACGCGGCAGCATGCAACGAGCGACCTTCCCATACGTAGACGCAGTGTCCTGCCAAAACTCGGGATGCACGGCTTTTCTGCCAAGCGACATGTCGGTCCTTCAGCTCTGCCTCCTCCATGTCGAAAGGAAGATTCGATAAATTTACTCGAACGTTGGCTCCGCGCTCCTGGGCTCGGAAACTGGCCGACTCTGCTCCGCTTGCTCCGCGCTGTCGTGCGGCGCACTGAGCACCGGACAGCTGGAGCTCTTCGAGGTGAACGTGAAGCTCGTCGACCGTCGTCGGTTCTGGGTGGACCTCGAGAGCAACAGCTCTCGGTGCTGTGCTGCGAAAGGTTACACATGCATTCAGGCAGACACCCGCCGGTCTGTATGCTCCACGTCGCTCTGGAATTGGATCTCTGTCCTCGGACTGAAACAATGGCAGACAGAGTGAGCAAACATGCCAATCCAGATAAGACTGAGACATGGACATGCCGCGGACCGACATCTCGAGTGTCCCGCGCTCCAACCCCCCGGGGGGGATCTTCTCGCAAGCCTGCCGATGTGTGTAGATTGTGCAACATTCGATGGAGCCACCTTGGCGAAAGCGCCGTGTGAAAATGCGTATTCGTGCCCCGGCAGCTTCGCGGCCGGGTGCGTTTCTTTGTAATTCAGGTTTTCTTTGTAATTTAGGTTGAGCCGCTTCCCCGAAACTGAAATAATAAACCGTACACCTAGACCAGCGAGCATACGGAAAAGAGAACTAGCTACTAGCTCGCTCACACTGCGGACTTTTGACTCGTCCTCTCTGCGGAGCCTTGTGTCTTGGAAGGGCCTTCTGCACAAGCTCTGACACTTGTTGACTTAGTGCTCGGCTTTGCAAGAGAAAACCGAAGTTTCTCGACGAACAGGGCTGCTCACAACCGGGAGAGGTGGGCTAAGCGAAAATATCTCTCTCCCTCGCGCCTTCAGATGCGCGGCGCCAACGAGCATTGACACTGTAACGCTCCGCATGCTTGTCGCCAGGTGCGCACGTGAACTACACAACAAATGTTTCCCCCACAGCTTCAGGAAGGTCTCCGTCCTTCTTTCTGCTATGCAGTAGCGACCCACACAGCCTGAAACGCCGGCGCAACCTGAAACAGAAAGTCCCAACTCACGAGAGAACACGCGAAGGCGAAAGCCTGTAGCCTGAAACTCAAGACCACCAAGCAGTGCAGCCGAAACCTTCAACCCTTCGAACTCCACTTCAAAAAACACAACAAGCACGGCAAGCCCCAAAATCTAGAATTCGCCTGAGCATCTTGAACCCTGAAACCTCCCAATCCTAGACAGTGAAAGCCCGAACGTCGAGCATCTTGGACCTTGAACAAAACACTGAAATGCTACGCCCTCAATCAAAAATCAAATCCTCAAAACACACATGAAACACCCACGGCCCGACACAGTGCTCGAATGCGCAAGCCCAAACATCGTTGTACCCCGCACCGAAGCAAACCCCGTAAGACCCTGAGAACACGCATGTTTGATAAAACATCGATATTTGCGTACAGCACTTACAGCAATGCTCAGAAATGTTCGCTTTCGTGGGCGAAACGTGCGTTTCAACGAAAATGCAGGTCCAGTTTCAGCTGCATTTTGTTTTTCAATTTCTGGGCCTGACAGATGTATGTCGGTCAGTCTGTCAGCTCTGCGATTGTTGAACAGCCTGTGCCTCGGTCATCTCTCCGACCAGCAACATCTGCACGGTCAAACTGCCGGCCTCAAGCACACGCTGTACTCCTACAATGCTGCTCGCCGGCTCCCGCCAAGTCTGCCCAGGATACGTCAAAGCAGCACAAGGCCTCGTCGACCGTCCCTACTGTCGCCACGGGCTCCTGCTGGAAGCTCCAGCCGTTCAGTTACATGCCAGGCGATGCCGGCACAGGATTGCATACAAGACTAGAGAATACTATATAGAGATATCATGGCGAACAACTGAGATGCTTGGTTCATTCCTACTTGGGTGGTCCGCTCAACCGATTGACCTGCCTAATCTTCTCTGCCTGCTTCCAGGAGCTTCTACGGATTCTTCGGACTACGGAGCTCCCAGCCTCCATGCTCAAAGTCAAGCCAAAGCTGCAAAAAACTAACGGACAAAAACGATTCAAGCGCCGAGCCACGCTCGACTCTGCGATCGTCGCGGCCTCGCTGCGGTGGTGGTGCCCTGATACGAGCGACCGCGAAAGACCCCGTAAGGCGACGCAGGCGCATGCAGGCTCTCGTGTGCAAATGCCTGTCGGGTCTGTCTCGGTTGTCTCGGTCGTCTCGCCGCGGAGGATCCTTTGCAAGATCTGAAAGTGCTTTGTTGTCTCTGCCGGTTGCCTGTGAGACCCAACTGTGCCTCGTATCCACGCCGCCGATCATAGTCGTCGCGCCGATCGTAGCCTCGGCCACCCTCGCTAATTCCGCGGTCCTGAGCGTGTGCGTTGTCTTGCATGTATCAGGACTGCCACGTGTCACAGCAAGTAGGGGCCGGAAGGCGGCACTCCTGTCCTCGTACGTATATCCTGAGCCTCGGCCCTTTCCCTCATCTTTGCCTTACGAGTCAAGCGGGTGGAGATGAGCCGACGGCCGAGAACTGAAATGAACTGAAGGATACTGAAGGTTTCAGCAGCAGCAAGCTATCCATCAAGCGAGAAACTGCGGTCATAGTAGTCCGCAGGTCTGTAGCTACCTCGATCGCGATCGTCGTATCTGCCACGGTCGTCTCGGTCCCTCTCTCCTCGGCCCGTGTATGGGTCTTCCCGGCGACGATCAGGAGCATCGCCTTTACAGAGGAAACCGACAGTTCCCGTCTCACACAAGTGTTATGAAAAGACCACATACAATCCTAGACTCTACAGTAGACACGATTTTGACCTGGGCCACCACTTGGACTACTTGGTTTAGGTGAATTGGTAAACGACAACCCGCAAGCTCCGGAGCTAGCTTTCGTGACATACATACATGCATGCATACACACACAGGCTGCAACACTCGTTTCTGGGGAATCGGCGACGGTCGCTGGAAGGCCAGTCCCTGTCGCGCCCGCCCTTGTCTCTGCCCTTTCCATCCCGGCGCTCATCGTCAGCCCCTGCAGTCACAGCAGCGGCTCCACACCGTCTACTCTGGCTTCTTTGAAACTGACAGAGGCTTCAACGGGAGCCACGTCTATCATCATCTCGTCGCGTCTGGCAGGGGACACAGAGCAGACAGCCACTTCGCACCGAGACAAAAAATTTGACTGCACCTCCTCCCACCGATCAGACCGCTCCGACCGATCAGATGCTCGTGGCTTGTCCTCGAAAGGCTTCGATGAGGACTGAAGACCCAAAATGGCCGACCACAGTCGGTCTCTTGTGATTCTATACAGGAACGGGGATCCTCTGACTTGAGCCAAGACACACCCTTGCCACCCTCGCGTCGAGTAGCCGGAGCTGCCTCCAAAGAGGGCAACAATTAAGGAAGCGCAGACGCAGCGGTTGAAAGCTTACTGGGCCTTGATGATGCCAGATCCAAAGGACTTGCTTTGATCAAGTCCCTGGATGGCATCCTGCATACAGCAGTGGTCACTAAACTAATCCCTGGGGGCAGTGTGCATCAGCGCAGAAGCTAAGATCCCACGGTGCGCCTGTGCAGACTCTAGGCGGGCGTAGGTAACGAACACGAAGGTGTCCCTGTCGGAATGCTTGATGTTGATGTCCGAGACAGTACCATACCTGGGTCGGGCCGTGCATTCGACAAAACCGGCGAAGCTGGATTCGGTTGTGCCTGCAACAGACAGAGTCCACCTCACTCTCACTGATGTCTCGAGGAAGTCCGCCAAGCCAAATGCCTCAGAGCAAACAGTCACTGCCATGCTGCCATCGCAGAGTCCTCTGTAGGGCGCCTTGTCGCGCAAACTAAACCCGAGCTTCAGACACGGCTTGGTTAGCTCGGTGGGCCTGAAGGATCTTCCCACTTCTCCACGCTCTCGCGATTTTGCACTGAGAACGAGACGCACCGCCAGATCCACCTTTCCCCTTGTTTCGTCCGTAGCCTGGGTCGATAGCCATCGACAGATCCACCAATCTCAGACCAACTGCTCGGCCTGAGTCATCGCCTGAGAGAGCCAGAGCTGGAGCATACAACTCTTCTGCCAGGGATCTCCTGAGGATTTGGCCCCATCTGTTGCCACCCATGGGATCGCGCACATCTGCCTTGACACTGCTCCCCGCCAACGCATTAAATCCGTAAAGCCGTATGGATGTTTATACACAATACACCATCGCCCGTTTGGGAGTCGCTTGGCTTTGAGGCGGCCGCCCCGGAGTTGCCGCGGTTCCAGCAGACTGAGCCCAAAGAAGCCCAAAACAACGGAAGACATTGGGGCTCGGGCTCGTCTCTTCCGTTTCAAGCCATCTCAAGCTTCCGGCTTAAAGTTTAAGGACGTTTCTTTGAGCAAACACCCCATTTTGGCGGAAGCTCTTCGCAGCTACTTGGCTCGTGGCCGAACTTCGGCCAGGCATCCAGAGGAATCCAGAGCTAACAAGACTTGGCCCGGCGAAGGCGCGCGCGCTGTACAACACTTCGCGCTGAGCGGCACCGAGGTTGCTTCGCTCGTCGCCTTCGTCGCCTCACGCTTGCGAGATCTCAACGCTTTCGTCGAGCTCGCCGACCCTGGCAGCGTCAGGTCTTGCCAAAGATTGAATGGTAGAATTGACCTTTGCTTGGGCCTTGGGTGGTGAGGGCATGTCACCGAATCCCCCCAGCATGCCCTGTGCGAAGGGGCACACAGCATATTGCTCATCTGCAACTCGCGAACGAGCCTCCATCGCAGCCCCGAAAATCATCGCTTCAAAGTCATCTGGCGGACGACCATATCCTAGTCTGGAGCTTCGTGGTGAAGTCTTCATGATGTCGTGAAGTGAGTCCGTCCTGAAGAAGATGTGCCGTGACCGCCATAACCGTTTCGAAGCTCAGAGCGAACTTCATTTGCCACAGCCTGACACGGGCTGCTGTGCTCGGTGGCAACTCATGCGAGATCAAACCGGCACCAAAAGAGCACAAGACAAAGGCCATTGTCGATGCTACAAACATATTCACTGCCACCCTGCAACCCACTCCACGCTGCCCAACCGCGAGCCAGGGAAGATGTGGTTTTGTCGGGAGCACCAGCCCAAACAGATGCTGCAAATCGCAAAATTGCAGTGGCGAATCTGGCCTCAAGGTCTGCCGCGTGAGCCTCTGCGAGGTGAGCCGCAGCCTTCGTACGGGGCATTGTTGCGTCAGCAACGCAATGCTGTCGCTCCCACCTCCGCCTGTGAATCCAGAAGGAGTCTGCAGAGAGCGCAACGAAACCCAAGCCTGCCGCCCTGATGCATGCGGCACATTGCGGCACCACACTACACAGAAAGACACAGAGGATGCACTCTTCACTATTCCTCACTATTCGGCCAAGCCTGCCGTTCGGGATGCAGATTGGCTTCACAGAAGGCTTCGAAGACCTCTGCGTCGGTGTCGTCCTGGTCCGTGGTCGCGTCTTAAGACTTTCCCGCACACGAACTCACAACAGATTGAAGAGTCAAACCATTTCGCCTCCTCCTCCTCCGCCTTTGCGCTGCTTTCTGCTTTTTTGTGGCACCTATCAGGCCATGCTCATATTCCGGATTCCTGTCAACTCTTCCTTTGACACGAGGCGATGACGCAATGCACATGCTGAAGTCGCACTTGCGGCAGTCAAAGAAGCGCTTTCCGTCGGGAATGTCCTTGCTGCACACATCACATTCGTAGCCTGGCCGCTGCAATCTGCATGAAAAGACGAGTGCAAGGAAAACACAGGAATCAAAGTGCTAGCCTCCGTCTACCTTCTTCCTTTTGAGTGTATGCCTCCGATTAAGCACATGCCGTGAGCTGAGGAGTCGAGCAAGCGCTGAAGCTCCCGCCCTGACGGACAAGTCACTTCGCAGGATGGCATACCTGCAGAGATGCAACGACCTGCTGTGAACATGGCACGTAGAACCACCCGCGCCTGACATAGCCGCCAAGAAGGCCTGCAACTCACCCATGATAGGCAGCGACCACGGGCAGCCCTTATCATGTATAATCTTCGTTGGACCGGAATCGTCAAAAATCTGGGTGCCAGAATGATGCTCAGATCTGAATGAGAACTGATTTCGGACATGCCTCCTCCATCGACATGCCAGCAGCTTTTTTACGGCCGCGGCCCTGAAGCAGCCAAAGTGTCCGGACAAGTAAACCGCCCTTCGTGCACGGCACCTTGCGCCGCGGCCTTGAGCTGTGGGCCTGCACGTGTGCACTTCGCAGATCCCGAGCTAAAACAGCTCCGAGCTGACAGCTCCTGGAAGCTGAAGGCCCCCGTCATTCTCAGGAGCTCGTCCAACAGAACCTGCACATTGACCAGCGGGTAAGATGCTCCCGCTTTTGGCCCTATCGGCGTGAGCCGATGTGCGCGCGTCCTGTTCAGAGGCATTGCGTTCCAAATGTAAAGGTTGCACTTGTCGGACTGTTGGCGAAAAAAACTCTTGGACGATGCCAGGCAAGGTGGAAGTTTTGTAGTCAAAGGCGTGGTTGAGGGAGGGATTGTGATTGCCTGTCAGTCCGATGTGCACGCGTCCCTTTCAGTGGGTTGTCGGATGTGCGCACAAATCTTTGCAGCATTTACAGTACAGCTACGATCCCTGACGAGTCGTCATGGGACGAAAGCTTGGCACCTGCCAAACAGCTGTAAAAAGGCTGCGAGGGGCCTCGGCTTGAGCGACCTGTTGAGAAGTACTGCACTAGACTCCGGCAAGGTCCTGGCCTGCTCCTCCGCATCCATATCCTGACGCTCGCCGACCCTCTGACCAAAACCGGGTGATGAAGGCCATCAGCAATCCAATGCATCCACACAGAGTCCCTGCTTTACCGAGAACATCCGCCGAGGCAAAAGGAGCGAGAAAGAGAGAGAGAGAGAGGCAGACATGGTGGGCAGGTGCATCGCTGCACAGGAACAGTGTTGCAGCGTTATGTCTGCGCACCCCACCTCCCACCTCATTCAGAGCACAAGCCCTTTCCTGCGTTTGCCCGCGCTGTTGCTTTCCGATGTACGCAATCTCTTAAACCAAGCAGGAGCCGTTCCAGAAGTCGTCCCGCACGCCAGGCCGTTGTACAGCCCTGAAACCTTCAGAGATTGGCAACTCAACGGCCTGTGCATGTCGATCCAATAGGGGGCAAGCAAGCTACAACGAACTGCTTACGCAAGGTGGACATAGGCCACATATGGCCATATCAGAATGAAATACGCCACGAGCCTATCGTGGCTGCTTGCTACCCTTGAGCGGTTTTCAATGAAGGACGTCGGCATGCTGCATCAACGGCTCCCCTCCGCTTTTCCCGGACGGCAGGAGAGGGAAAGTGATTGCACTGTGGTGCAAGCCGAGGCTTTAACGATGCCGAAGCAGCAAGCAGACAAGACCGTGTCAGAGCTTCCTGTGCCATTCCACCCCCAAAGAAAGTGGTGAACAAGTTCGCGGCATGCAGCAGACCTTAGGCTCAGATTGCTTCAGGTCGCGATGCGGCAAGGCTCAGGAATCCTGCTACATCAAACCGCCAGCGATTGTGGGGCGGACCCTCCTCATCATCTAACTCCTCCACAGACGGCTTGCGCTCCGTCTGAATGACACAGCTGCACATAAGGCAGTACTGTCCTCGCTGTCAACACAGCCTGTGGTGTCGTACATGTTACGACGCTCAGAATCTGAGAGCACCTGCTCGCAGGGCAGTGTGCCAGGCAAGACTGGCATAAGATAAGCTCCTCGTAGGCCCCAGCGATCTTCTGGAACCTGGTAGTTAGTCTCTGGGCGGACGGATGCGCAGTGACGAGAACTTGCATGCACACCGTCAGCTTGGATGCGAACTCGGCTGTGGCATCTTGACTCGCATTCTTGTCCTGCATGGTGGCACATGTCAGCCAGAGAAATCCGCGGCAGTCTGCTGCGTACACCTTGAGGCACCGGCCGGATGGTATTTCAAGGCAAGCCGCCTGTATGCCTTCCTGCCACAGCTTGAGTGGCACGGTTCTTGAGGACCCAACGTCTCCAACCGTGTAGCCTGATTTCAGCTTCGCTGGCACTGGATTCCAACCCCAGTGTCTGGTACAGTCCCTTCGGGTCCTGTCATTCCCTACTGTGGGTTGAAAATGGCGATGCATTCGATAGTCCTTTCTGCCCAGCGCCGGCATGCTGAGAGCTGGGCCACGACTTCTTAAACCGTGTATCTACAGGCTATCGATTCTAAACTTGTCAGAGTCATGCCAGGTAGGGATTTGATCTTTGAAGAAACTGCAGGTAGTATGAGTACGGACCACGAAGAAACTCAACACAAACGGCTACGTCTCTTCAAACAATTACAAAACCTGGCTGAGATGCCTCGTTTCTTTGCTTCAAGCTGTGTGGCAGCGGAACACTGAGAAGCCACATTCATTGAGCTTCAGGATTATGCCAACTGTTGGTCTCGTGGTGTGCGACGCATGTCGTCAGGTTCCATCGAGGCATGTCAAAGCTGATACAACATGAGGTTAGATTCAGCGATCTCCAGCACAGATCCCGTCGAGGTGAGTCTGCTTGATTTTCCTTGCGCGGTATTTGTTCCCTGCGCATGGTAGAGATCTCTCTCCTAGTTCAGCAGCAATCAATGCAGCTCTGGCACTCTTTACGGAAAACCTGTCTGCTCCGGAGTGCTGTCACAAGCTGGAAAAGTTTCAACCAGTGTTGACAAGACTTTGCTAGGGCCGAGTAAATCAAGACCCAAGGCCAAACCACTTTTGTCTCATGGAACTGTCACCATCTTCATCAAATTCGAAGCTCCAGGACACTCTTCCTCACAGAGGGCATTGCTGACAGCCCCCACAGAAATCGAAGTGCAATGCCCTTCATGAGTCCTTCTGGCCGTGTACAGCCACAATGATGTCACCAGACTTCACCTTGCAAGGCAAAAACTCTGCAATAGAGATCACTCGGAACACTCCTCGTCTAGGTGACAGTGCCAAACGAAACGTCTTGAAGCCTAAGTCCGCGACCATGTTGTGCTCCTTTGCACGCGTCAATGCTTTGGCTATGACGGAGTCAGTGCCCTGAGTCGCAAGGCCCGATGCCAGATTTTGCTCAATGCAGACACGGCTTCCCAACCTGGAAAGACGCGGTGAGGATGGGGATGACGCCGCGAATGGCCAGCAGCTGCCGCAGGTTGGTCTCGCTAGCTGTGATGCACAGGATGGGAGACTCGGGACCTCAGTTCGGGCATCATTTACCAGCAACATGTTTCTGTTTAGGGTCCACTGAGATTGCGGCGGTACTTAGCAATCAACCTTGCCGTTGTCCCAGTCTCACTGAGAGCAATGATAAGTGGGCATTTGGAGTCGACGCATGCCTTGACTGCAGAGGAGCAGACAGACTCCACTGCAGACATTCCCATATTCTGCTTCAGGACAAGCTGTCGCATGTTGAGGTAGAGGGACTTGTAATCCAGCGTCGATTCTGCCTGTTCACAAATTCTTCGCATGGTCGCAACAGCTGCTTCAGGGAACTTGCCGTTGGCCGTCTCGCCGGAAAGCATCACGACATCTGTTCCGTCCAGGACTGCATTGAGAACATCGGTCGCTTCCGCGCGTGTTGGACGAGGGGCACGCTCCATGGAGTCCAGCATCTGTGTAGCTGTGACAACAAATTTTCCAGCTGCATTGCACCTGAGAGACAAGATAAGGATTCGAGTAGCATGGAGTCGCAAATGGTAGCAGCGACCACTCGGCATCTCAGGAACTGGCTTCATGATGATCATCTTCTGTACGAGGCCGACCTCAATCATTGAAAGCTCATGGCACGTGCTTCATGAACATGACGTGCACGTGTCCACCTGATCGTCTTACTTCATCAACAGATGGCTTTGTACAACATTTCGGTCGTCACTTCAGCCCTCCATCCTGAACCTGTTGCTTCCCTTACGACTGCAAACTGCCTCTGCCATCGGGCAAAAATTGCCGACGTGTTTACGCCAAGCTTGCGCGCCATTCTGCGATTGGAGAGTAACATTCGTGGTTGTGTGGTGTTCGCTTGGCTCCAGGTATTCAGACAAGAACGCTCCAAGAATGGCTTTCTCTGGCAAGTGTGCATATCTAGAATCTGTGCCCGTCAGTGGACGCAACCTAGCGAACATCCTAGAGCGCTCGTTCTCCCTTCAGAAACTGCAGTCTCAGAAACCTTCTCGATGTCGATTTCCATGCCCATGTCACCGCGAGCCACCATGATTCCATCGCTCGCAGCAATGATTTCATCGATGTTGTTGATGCCTTCCTGATTCCTTAGAAGACCCATCAGAAGACATGACATGCTGTCAAGAACCATCGCGATATCATTGTCACTGTGGTTGCATAGTCTTGCGATCAGCCATCGCAAGTGAAAAAACAGCCCGACTTCTTGTCTGGCAATTTCACTGTACATTTTTCGTCTCGGTCTCTGTCATTCTCTGTCTTGCGTCGTCTTCGGGGCGCCTTCCAGCTTCTTGCAGACTCTTAGATCACCTCAAGAGCACTCCCAAGCTTGGCTTCGGTACACGCTGTCTTCATCTAAATATGCGCGCCGTGCATATCGTAGGATCATGTGGGCTCGAGAGCTGGTGGCAGCACGGCCTTTGGGCATTTGGCTTGCTTGAAAATCTTGTGGTGAAGGCCGCGAATATTGTTGCTTTCACACCGCGGACATTTTTCACCCGGTGCTTGGTGCATCATAGTTCTGCAACATGCAGCAGCATTTTGACGAGACTAGTCAATGGCCTGCAACCTAAGCTACCATCATATGCTTCGAAAACGATGCGCACCCCAAAACACGCACGGCACTGCGGGAACAGAGTTTCGAATTACGCCAAATTCACGAACCCCTTGCTTCGAACGGCGGGCCCCTATAGGACCTACATCACGTCCTCCAGTTCGGGCACCATCTGTTCCAAGAACTCCGCCATCACGTCCGCTGGCGTCGGCATGGGTTTCGGCTGAGGTTTCGTCGTCACAACATGTCACAATCTTGGCAGCTGCGAAGAAGGTACAAGCAGGTGCAACGGAGCTTGCGCACATGGTGCCGCGGTGGTCCTGGTAGTAGCCGATGTAGCCCCTGGCAAGCAGCCACACATAGCCACACTGGGCGGGGGCAGCTGGGATCATTCGAGCTGCCCGCGCTTCGGCATGGCCTTGGCTGGCACGGCGGGGCATGGCAGGGCTGCCCGTCACGTTGGTAGTAACGGTAGACTTCGCCACCTTGGGGTTCGCCTTGGAGAGCGACGGTGGTGTACTCGGAGGCTGCTTTTGGGCGGGTTCTTGGCGATGGCGGCCGAGGATTGATCGTGAGCTTCGATCCTCATCGCAAGATTCCCATGAGCGTGACAAGAATCTGGTGCCCCCAACCCACATGCCCAGCCAAGCGGAGGGAGACGCGAACGTCGTCCATCATGGTGTTAAGGCGTTCAAGACCACAGCTGCCGCAACGAGCGGCGGGTCTCGCCACAGGTGCAATCTCCGCGTGGCGAGGCGATTCTAGAAAGGAGCTCGGGGAAAAACGTTTTAGAGATCTCGAGCCACAGCAAGTCACTTGCAGCCATGGTACATGTCACTCCCTGAAACAAGTTGCACTGAACTGCAATGCTATAGCACTGCCCGAATTGCTTGAATCCCCACAACTACCAAAAGTCCGTGACTGGGGGAAGCCTTGCAAGGAATCGCTCCCCACGCGTATGCACCCTCACATCCTGCTGCTCTGCAAACCAGGTGTCTCAATCTTCGAGATGATCTTGACCGAACGCCCGCGCATTCCAAGGGTGTCCCGAATAAGCTTGACGTCCCCCGCATCCTTCGCATCCATCCGTGATTTTGAACCATCAGTCTCGTGCGTGTGTTTCCGTGCAGCCGCAGTCCTGAACGAACGATGCTGCGACAAAGTCGACGCCTTGCGGCACCCCAAACTCAATGAGGTCCTTCTTATCCTTCTCCTGGATGACAGATGAAAACAAACAATTGAAAACGTGCTGCAAGGATACACTTGCTTCTAGCAGCTAGCAATTCCATGAAGACTTTGATCCGAACAGAGTAGGGTAGGAATCCACAACTATTCCCATGAACCTTGCCTGCCGCTGTTCGACGGACCCTCGACCGTCCAATCCGTCTCTGGGAGATGCAATGACGGATGAAACAAAGTGCCACTCGGTCCTGAAGCACTGGCAGCTCGACCTTCACGCCAGGCAGATTCCTGAGAGCAATGCAGACACTTCAGATCATAACTTCAACAAGCGAGAGCGGCAACTGGAAGTTCGGAGCCCCGCAAAAGCAAATCCAAGGTGACCGCCAAACTACAGAACGACGCACGTCTCTGCTTTGCATTGCTTGCTTGCTACCCAAGCAGCATGTTCTTCTTCTCGCCAATGGCGATGTCGTTCAAAACCTTCGACACGTCTACCCTGCTGCTTCACTGTTTCAAAGAAAGCTTCAAGAGCAGACGGCCTCAGTGACGACATGATCAGAGCCTGTACTTTTCACCTTCAATGACAAAGATCCGTCTGCAGCCAGAATAATCTGCCCGGGCTTGACCTAGCTGCGCACTTGCTTGCAAGAAGAGAGGTTTGACAAGCTGAGGTTTGGGATGTGTGCAGTTTAGCTGCTGCCGTTGGCAGGGTCTTGTAGCTGCAGGCGATGCAAGTCTCGTCACCCTTCCCAGACAGCGACTCAAGTCGACAGCGTGAAGTGTGGCAAAGAGCATGGAGCCGACAACTCGCGATTTGCATCTCACCTTGAAGTCGTAGTCGCTCACGAGTTTCAGATCTTGTCCAGCTTTCAAATTAATCTTTCCGCCCGCCAAGCTCTCCTCCAAACATCGCTCAGCAGCAGCCCTTCTGGCGTGCGCTCCATATCACAGCGTTTTGCCAACCTTCCATCCGCCCTGCCAACCCCAACCAGACCCTTGGCAGGAAACCTGCCACAAGAAAGCACCACTTCGAGCACTCCATGAGGATGGCAAACTACTTAGACAACGCTGGAAATCAACCTGAACATCGAGACCAAACAGAAGAGGCACGATCGTAGAGGTGTTCGAAATGTTGAGCTGCAGTAACACTATAAAGCAAACCCTGCTTCTGACTCACCTTTAGACACGACACAACCGGGCTGGAGCTGAGCCACTTGAGCTCTGAAGGCGCGGTGGGCTGGGGCAGGGTGATCTTCACACGCTGAAAAGGCCAGCACCGTCCTGCCCTGACCCAAAGCCGCGAAGGCTTCGTTTCTCGCAGTCTTTGGTGCACCACAAGCACTGTCCCTTCTGGGGTTGGAGTTTCACGCTTTAGAGTGAATCCTGCATATGCGAAGTCCTTGGGGCCATTATCGGCATCATGCGACGTCCGTCTTTTCGTTGCGGGAGGGTTCTTTTGTATGTTTTGCCTGTGCATCGCCAGGGGACGTCCCAAGCTCAGAAGTCTGGAGGCAACTGCAACGAGCAGGATGACGGAATGCACGGGTGGATATGGGGCTGCCAATCTTGGCTTCTTTGCGCATGATTTGGCTGTCGTGGCTCGTCGATGAGAAGTAATGGGGTGTCCACGACAGTTGCGAGCAAGACCTGCACGCACAAGAAATCCTACCGTCAAATCCTTGAAGAAGCCCGTTCGGATTTCCGGGCCCTTGGTGTCGAGCAAGATCCTGGTCAGTACCGCACAGCGCGTTCATGCGCGCTCCGAGCAGCCATCGCTACACCTGTAATCACCTGCAGTATCCTCGCAGCCAAGTCTCGCCACAGGCTTGTCCGGTCGCTGCTTGGAGGCCTCGCGGACTCGCCCGACGGTTGCGCCGTGGCCCTGGCCGAGCAGGACTGCGAAGGCGACACGTACAAGGCTCTCGCTGTCGCACCTCGTGATCTCCGTGAGAGAAGTTCAACCTGGCGATGTTCAGACCTTCGTCAATGAGCTTCCTCGGTCCCGGTGCAACGGGCAACTGGGTCCCAAATCGCTGCAGACGCATCCAATGCCGTGGACATTATGGGCTGCAGTGACCATGGCTCTCGCCAAGGAGCACAAGCATGGGAACGTCCCAGCAGCAAGGACCCATGGTGCAGATAATCTTGCACTTGCGCTTGAAAGAATCTGAGCCACCCTCGCGAGGGCAAACAAACGCAGCATAAGCGACTTGATTTGTCGACTTTCTGCAGTCTGCAATACTAGGTTATTCCTTTGGAGGCACAGCTATCTCACCGATTCGCCTCCGACAGGGACACCATCGAAGCCCGCGTAGCAGGATCGTCGAGCAGCATCGGGGACTGTTGGTACCTGGTCTTCACGGCATACAAGTTGACTGCAGCTGGCGGAGCTGTACTACACCTGGAAGTTTACGAATGCAGCGCAGGCTCATCATGACAAAGGCCGAGGGCAACTGCCTTCGCTCTGCTGCCCGCTGACGTGGTGACGCTGGACGGCTTCGGAGAACAAGGGGTCAACAGTCAAGCCTAATCACATCCGAGGCAGACCGTGGCCGTGGCATGCAGGAGTCCTGCAGAGTTTTTCTTCCGAGTTTTGACAGAACGTGTGTCCTCGGCAGCCGCGAAATGCCACTTCGTGGCACAGAACACATCGCCCTTTGTGAGACGTCAAGAAACCATTACCTTGTTGATTTTGTGGCTTCTGTCAGCAAAGTGCCGAGTTGTGGCAACGCAAGCAAATGACAACGCAAAGGCAAGGAATGTTGTACGAGTGTGGGCTCAGCTGTGTGTATCACACAGGTCGGGGTGTCTGAGGGACCTTGAGCATAGAGCTCGCCCCCATGCTTGCGCTCAGCTGACTCAGTGAAACGACTTGATCACAGTCCCATCCGTCGTGTCCACAATCACAAAGGACCTGACGACCAAGCTGCAAACATCTACACAAAGCCTGCACTTCTACGGACTCCGAGACGCCTGAGGAATGCATCATAGCCGACAATCAAGCCTTCTTCATCCTGTGCGGTAGCAGGGTCGATTCACATCGCGATTCCTTTAAGAGCACTACATAGCACTACCATCCGCTACCCAAAACCATCCCAAAACCCATTCCCTAAACCCTCTAACAGGTTGTTGCCGGGGTGGTTTTAGCTCTTGTTTGCATGCCTTTGCGTGCCCGTTTCGCTCACCACAGTCACTTTATGGCATGTAAACCACCGTCCAGCGCGAGGTATGCGAGGTTTTCGCCCTTGCATATGCTAAATGTGACGTGATGTTTTCCTCACTTCGTCAAGCCACATGTTTGTTGCTCTTGTGTGTTGCGCATTTTGCGCGTTTTACGTCTTTGTCGTTGTCGGCATTCTGCGCGTTTTCGTCTTGGCCGTTATCGGTGATGTTGCTTGCTTGCTCTTTCGGGTGAGGGATCAGATCGCGGGGGGCTTTAATAACCCTATATAGTTTCACAGTAAACACGTCTCGAGCACATGAGGGTGGAGGGGTGGGGTGGGGGGGTTGAATAACGATTTGTTTCTCAGTACCGTGCCCCAGCCTGAACGCTGGATTTTGAGGTGTGGGGGTTTGTAATTTTGGTACTCTTGGTAATCTTGGTCAGCAAATGCTGCAAGTGGTGCACTTGGTCAAAATGACCAAGATTATCAAGATGACGTCCCCTCTCCCCCCAAGATCACCAAGATGACCAAGACTACCAACGCAACGTGGAACATTAGCGGTTTTCGACTCCCGACTCAATGTAGGAGTGGTGGTGGTAGTAGTAGTAGTAGTTGTTGTTGTTGTAGTAGTACTAGTACTAGCACTAGTACTAGTACTAGTACTAGTACTACTACTAGTACGAGTACTAGTACCAGTACAAGTACAAGTACTAGTACTAGTACTAGTACTAGTACTAGTACTAGTAGTAGCAGCAGCAGCAGCAGCAGTAGCAGTAGCAGTAGTAGTAGTAGTAGTAGTAGTAGTAGTAGTAGTAGGTAGTAGTAGAGGTAGTAGTAGAGGAAGAAGAAGTAGTAGTAGCAGAAGTAGTAGTAGTAGTAGTAGTAGTAGTAGCAGTAGTAGTAGTAGTAGTAGTAGCAATAGCAGTAGCAGTAGTAGCAGTAGCAGCAGTTGCAGTAGCAGTAGCAGCAGCAGCAGTAGTAGTAGTAGCAGCAGCAGCAGTAGCAGTAGCAGTAGCAGTAGTAGTAGTAGTAGTAGTAGTAGTAGTAGTGGTAGAAGTAGAAGTGGCAGCAGTAGAAGCGGTAGTAGTAGAAGAGGTGGTGGTAGTAGTAGTAGTAGTCGTCGTCGTCGTGGTAGTGGTGGTAGTAGTAGTAGAAGTAGTAGTAGTAGTAGTAATAGTAGTAGTAGTAGTAGTAGTAGTAGTAGTAGTAGCTGTACGCGCGTAGGGCGTATTTGACGC